AACACCGCTCCGGTTCCGCCTCGACAGGGAGTTTGAAATGCGCCTTTGGGGTCCAGTCGAATTTGTTTCCATGTCCTTTTAAAAGCCCTGCTGGGACCTCAGACCCGAGCGGTGAGGTGTGCATCCCCGCTGCCGGCCGGACAGTCCCCGTCCCCGTCTCTGCCCCGTCCTGTCTGCGGGATTGCGGACGAGGTCCCACAGCCACCCGCACTACAGCGCCTCCGCAGGGCCAAAACACACGGCGGCGCGGCGAAGCGAGAAACTCGGTGGGGGGGTGGGGACGTGATCCCGTCCCCACCCAGCACGGGCTTGGGGCGCGGGGCACCCCCAAAATCGCTCAGCCCCCAACACGGAGGTGTCTTTCATATTTGAGTCGAATTTTGGTCAGGCTGCAAACTCCAGGGGCCAAAGCGTCCGGGCCTGTAAAACCTGATCTGTAATCTATCTGGTTTAGACTAAAACTTCGCATCTGCGGTTTTCAGACAGTATTTCATGGTGTCGACTGTGATTTATACCAAGAAGTTAAGATAACATCCTCATCTGCTTGCGGTGATTTTTGTTTCAACTAAACCACTATTTCATCATTTCTTTTTCAAATGCATGAGTCATCAAAAACAAGGAACTTCTGCTGTGGGGAGTATCGGCACTGGCCGCTTATCGCTCGGGTAAAGGCAACACAGCTGCACGCACTGACTCCGCGCATGCGCCTCCATCCCCAGACACTCGCCGTAAAGGCAAACTGCGCCTGCGCGGAGGACGGCGGCACAAGAATGATTACGTCATTTTTCCTACCCGAATCCCTGCGCGCAGGACCGTGGAGGTGACTTCATCAGAGAGACAGCGAGCGATGTTCTGCTCTTCCCGCAGGGAGCTCGTTACTCAACATGTTTTACTGCTTAGCCGCTTGCTAACCGTAATTAAGAGCTGTACAATTGTACTAGTAACAATAGCTCTGTGTGATAATTACAAAATGCGACGGAATCACTTACAAAGTCGTACCAGAAGGCGGTTTTATACACGTATAGACTGATAGACGTTAAAAACACAGCAAATAATATTGCTTCCAGTCGTTTTCCTGCCTCGCAATGTAGGTGAGGTAGCTTCTGCAGGTCCCCTCTGTCTGCAGTGTTGTTGAGGAGTGACGTACAGCCTACCCTATCTCTCCAGCTCAGTGACCCATTCCTCACCAGCCTGTATCGATCTCCCCCACTCTGGTCACCCCCTCGTTCTCACCCGGCATGGGCACAGATGGGAGCACAGGCTCCCCACAAGGGCCATTGTCTCCTGTCCCTGCACCCCC